ACGGGACAGGGAACGGGACAGGGAACGGGACAGCGGATGGGACAGGGGATGGGACAGGGAACGGGACAGGGAACGGGACAGGGAACGGGACAGGGAACGGGACAGGGAACGGGACAGGGGACGGGACCAGGGATGGGACAGGGAATGGGACATGGGATGGGACAGGGAAAGGGACAGGGGATGGAACAGGGGATGGGACAGGGGATGGGACAGGGGATGGGATACGGGATGGGACACGGGATGGGACACGGGAAGGGACAGAGAACGGGACAGAGAACGGGACAGGGGATGGGACAGGGAATGGGAAAGGGGATGGGACAGGGGACGGGACAGGGAATGGGACAGGGAATGGGACAGGGGATGGGACAGGGGACGGGACAGGGGACGGGACAGGGGACGGGACGGGATGGGACACAGGATGGGACAGGGGATGGGACACGGGAAGGGACAGAGAACGGGACAGGGGACGGGACAGGGGATGGGACAGGGAACGGGACGGGGAACAGGATGGGGAGTGGGACAGGAAACAGGACAAGGGAAAGGACAGGGAGCAGGACAGGACAGAGAACAGGACACAGAGCAGGACATGGASCAGGACAGGAAGCAGGCAACTTCCYGGGGATTTGAGGAATAAATTTGAGGAGCAGGGTAAGACACTCTCTGTAGAGTGGAGCCTCTGGACACACTCAGCCCCTCAGGAGCAGCTTTGGTGCTGCCTCATACAAACACAATAAACATGCACTGCACASAGAGTGAGGGCAGTGCTCGCTGCTGCTCAGGGCCAGGAGTCATTTAGAAAGGAAAAGGTACCACAAAGGCTCAAATAAAGCTGAGAAAGCTTTCCTGAGTGTTTGGGCTGCACCCACACCTCTGACAGGGACAGAAGGAGAGGCCCTGCTATGGCAGACTGGGCTCGGTCAGGACAGGAGGATGCATGAGCTGTACCTTCATATAGTGTTTGAAGATATCTGCTGCTGCATGCATGTCCACAATGTCATAAATTATCAGCTTGCTGAAGGCAGCCAGAAGGTTTCTTCTCTTATGTAAAGCTTCTATTTTGTTGGCTTCATCTTCTTCATCTCCCTCTGAAAGCATCATCAACAACAGAATATTTATAAGTAACTGTTCAGTTCTGAAACAATATTATCAAAGGGGAATTTTCAGAAAAARATCAATTCTTGACATGAAGCAAGAAGGATTGCTGGAGAAGAAGTAAAATGAAAGGTCATAATTGTTGAGTCCTGCCTAATTCAAAACTTACAGAGAAGTTGAGGGACATGGCACACCACTAATCAAAGCTAATCTCCATAGCCCTGAGGAGATCCTGAACATAACTCACATGGAACTGAGTTTAYTTCCTTTACCCTGTGAAAGGCCCCAGGGAACACTTGCTGAATGCTCTCTCTTAGCTTCTCAAGCACAGGACATTTGGAGATGCTTCATTAACATGACCAAGCTATAAATATTTAAGAAAAGAAAAATTAGAAGCACCAATTCTTCTGCATGCCTTGGATTTTCTGATGTGAAAGCAATGGCTCTAAAGAACAGGAAGTAAAATCCAGTTGTAAGAAGCATTAACACAGAATGGCAATGCCATAAGTATTAAGTCCCTATGCAAGACTTCATGCTGYGAATAAGAAAGAAGCTACAGATAAAATCTTAAATCTAGTATCATACAATAAAAGCTTATTTCACAACTTACATTAGAAACTTCAGAGCTCTTAGAAATAAAGTAGGAATAYTTCTGAAAACATTTGAACAAACTGATCTGAAAATTCTACTTCCTCCTTCCATGTTATGAAAAAAAGCTAAACATACCCATGCTCTGGTTTTCATCATCTTGGTCAATAAACACGTGGTCCATCACAAAACTGAGAAGTTCTGACTGCAGKCCTGAGTCTGGATTGAACACCAGAGGCTGGAGCCCTTCTCGCCCTCCCGTCATCAGCTGGTGACTAAAAATCATCAGGAGGTCACAGAGCAGCATGAAAGCCTGAAAGGCAAAAGAGAATAAATGCAGTGWAAAGTCATGTAAGGAAAAGATAAAATACCATTAATCATTTCCAGAGAWCCCCTGTGCTTATTAAACAGCTTGTTAAACTGTTCTCAGCTGTAGCTGTTTGTGTGCTGTGCAAAGGATTCCTCAGGGCTTCCTCTAACCAAGAATGCTGTGCCTTTGGCTCCTAGGTCAGGAACTGTCCTTGTTACCTCCTCCATGTCCTGGATGATCCATGTTAAACTTCCATTTCTTCCCTACAAAAACAACTCTAAATCWACCTCTGATCCAAGGCCTGCAGCCAAATTTGTAGTAAAGAAAACTCATCTCTTTTGATAAACAGCTAGAAAAATCGAAGAAGTGAAACCATGAACAACATTATGAGGGAAAATTCAAGCTGAGCCACCATCAGACCCCAAAAAYACAGAGAAGCAGATGTAAGCAAGTAAATTCTTGCAGAATTTCATCAACAATTCTTGCAAAAAAAAGAATCAAGTATGTCTGTCCCTCTTTCAAATCCAGACAAAAGCCAATCTGGGCAGAATTGTCTGTGATTTATGCTCATTACTATTACACCCTCATTACCTGAGAGAGGGAAAGAAGGCAGCTGTCACTACCTTCCCTTCTTCCAAGGGCTCATCTGGGCATTCCTGCATGGCAATAACACTGTTTTTCCCCCAAATGGCTTTTGTTGGGGGGGGTCACAGACAGCTGGCTGCATTTGATCACATTCAGCACCTTTTAGAGGACTTTAAAATCACGGTTTCTCTATTTTTAATCTCAGGTTCTGAGAACTTGATAAACTTCCAAAATAAAATCTGTGAATGCTGTACATCACAGTGGCYCCCTCATTTCTTGGAGTGTAGTTTAAAATCTGAACGAGCTACACTCAGGCAAGAGCAGATGCAAACCATTGTAAACTGTGTTTTGCTGAGACCTGGGGAACAGATGCTGCTATTTGGGATTTCTCTTTTGATCCAAAAGGCTGTGACTCATTCCAGTGATGATCTCACCTGCTCYAAGCTCCCTTGATACTCAATAGAATTGAAGCTCTCCCTAATGCAGACCTCTAAAAAAGAGCAGATGAGTAATGCCAGTGCTGAKTTCTGTCCAACAAGGGCAGCAGGGGACTCAGTCACAGAATATTTATTTCACTCACACTCATGGAAAAGCTGAAATGTTTTAGTCCTGTTTCTCTAAATACTTAATACATTTTTCCTTCCTTTGATATGGACATCAACTGTGTCTGGAAAGAATGACTGGATTAAGGATCAGGTATAGTAGAGAGAATACAATTTGCATATAATTTTTTTAAAWATCCAGTAAAACAAAGGGAATGAACAGCAGTCCTGCACTCACACAAATATACTTTTTAAGGAAGAAAATGAGAGCAATTAATTGGAGTGTTGGCTGGAAGGGCTCCCTGGAGTCTGTAGTCCAGCCCACTCTGCCAGGACAGGGGTGGGTTTGGCTGAGCTTGAAAACTTCCCCTGAACCAGGAACTGCAAAGGAGCTTCTTAGAAAAGTTTAATTTATCAATGAAGAAACCATTGTGCCACTGGTGAGAAGACAACAAACCCATGTTAACACASCCCAGGAATAAACCCACTGCAGGGATGGGAGGGATCATTTGCTGAGGCAGGAAGGACGGCAGGTCCAGCTCCAACTGGAAGGGAGGTGTTTGCACGAAGCTAGAAGGTATTTTCCCATGATGTAATATAAATACAACATACCAAGAGTAACTACTCTGAATATCAAAAAACAATTACTAAAGTAAAATCAGCTGGAAGCCAATGGCACACAAGTATTTTAGAAATCCATGAAACTACTGACATCTCTGGTCATTTAATGTTTGTGTTTAGCAACCTGTAGAAGAGACAGTAAACACAAAGCAGAGCTTTCTTTCAAAGAAATAAATCTTTTAAGAAGTATTATCTTCTAAATACCACATGCAAAAAACACATGCCAGTTATTAGTTAWAGGCTTTGTAAAATCTGGGGAGGTCTGATAGAAATGCCATTTGTAGACAAATAAAATGTCATTGCCATAAATCAGTGGATATCCACCTAACCTCAGMTAACAAACAGCTATTGTGTTCTGTAGAGACAGACAATTATTTCAGCAAAACCTTTGATTCAATGGAAAAAAATCCAGAAAGATTCAGCCCATTTGAAGTCTCAGTCACCCTCCCAAAAGTGCCTATTTCCAACCCTTCTTCAGGAAGAGGTTTTCACTCAAGGTGACTGAGCTGGATGCCTGAAGTTATGAGGGCTGAAAATGAGCCTGAGCATCCAGGTGATCCTTCCTTATTGTGAATCAAAAGTTAATTTGTCATGAGCTGKGCTTTGGAAGTGCTGTTAACAGAGCTGCTCTTCTGGGGTGTTGGTTCAGGTTTATTTAGACAGGAGCACAGATGATTTGACTTTAAGTTTGATGTAGTKCTGTCTTGAGTTTTACTACAATTCAACAGACTTTTCTAAAAGCATGGCAGACATTTCCTTTACCTGTTCTTTGACTGGAGTGTTGACATTTGATAGACACTGCTGGCAGACAGCCAGGAAGGATTTCACAGTTTTCCTCAATACCAGCAAGTCCTCCTGGAACAAACATTAAGAATGGAAGTATATAAAAATTAATAAAAGGTTGCTAGGAGGAAGCACAATAAAGAAATGGTGAAAATTTCAATACATTCAACAAAAARCTGTGAAAGAGAGATGCTATTCAAAGAAAACACACAGAGAAACAGTTCCCTGGTTTTACAGTGATGATGAACCAACAACAGAGAAGGAAACAAGGCCTCAAATTAAATGCAATGCAATGAATTCACAGCAGCTGACCCAAGCTCTGCAAAGCTCCTCCAGGACAGCTGCCATGGGCAGGAGGGAATCTCCTGCAGAACAGCTCAAGCCCAGGGTGAAGAGCCCACATAGCACACCTGTAGTGTTTTCCCTGCTGAAATGTTCTGCTGCTGCTGCTGGCTGCTCAATCCAGGTGTCTCAGCCCCGGTTTTGCTTTTCCTGTGCCTCCTGCCATGAGCTCTCCCTGCTCTGTGTTACCTGCAGATCCTTTCTGTGCTCCATCTGCTCCCTGCACTGGCTCCCAGCACAAGGCAGGACTGCCAGCATGCCCAGGCACCCTGAGGGCTCCCAAACCTCTCACCCCTTCCAGGGCAGCAGGGGGATTTTCTGACACAGATTCTGCAGGTCTGTGGCTTTCCTGAGGAGCTTTTCTCTGATACTGCAGCCATGGATCCCTTGTGCCTCTGCCTTCCCCTGCCWCTACAGAACCTGTCAGACAGCTCTGCCTTGTTCTAATGGACAGTGTGCAATGGATCACCCCTTCTTTCCTGGATATAAGCCTTCCATTAAGCAGCATTAAAATCTAAAAGCCTATTTTTAGAAATTTTAGATTAYATTTTGTACACCAATTGAGCTATATCGTCCCCATTTTCACTGCCTTCACTTTACCTTCACAGACTGATAAAAATGACCAGTTTTTTAGCAGAGAACAGATGTCTCCTGGAATGCATCAGAAGCTATTCCACTGCATGAGGATTTCTCACCTACAAATTATCATTAATATCTGGATCAATTCTAAGCTATTGAGTMTCAATTACATTAAATCCAAATATGCACCTGAAATGCAGTGTGGTGTTCATGTCCTACACACACCTAGTGTTTMAATGGATTTTCTTCTGGCAAAAATACAATCTTCTAAACAACAAATTGATGTGTTGCTTCCACACAGGGTTCCTGGCCCTTCAGCCTGGAACCAGCTATGTTTTGTGTCTCCAGTCCACGACCTTACCTAGGACTGATGCCAGGTTTATCAGTTCACTGTTACATAATCACCTGATCTACCCCTTTAAACTCTGGCATTACAATCACTGTAATGCTTCYTATCACAATCACCTTCCATTTAGATGTCCATGAATACAGAGAAACTAAAACCTACGGAAAATCCTACATACAGGTTAAAAGGGAATGAGTTTTCTTTCTGTAATAGAGACTAACAAGCAGGCACATGATATTTATTATCCTCTCTCCTGACAGCACAGCATGACAGAGATTCACACTGAAGTTACAGACAGGAGAAAGCCCAACTGAACAGTGCAATGGAGCCATCTCTGAACCCTGCTGAGCTTGGAAAAACCCCCAGACTACTGCAGAGTGGGGAGCTTTTCCAACAGAGGAAATGGGAAGAAAGAAAAGGAATTAGATTTTCAAGTCTTGGGCATTGTGGGATGCACAGTCCAGGCTCTCCAGGTGTGAGCACCTGATTTGCTGCCTTCAGCAGCAAAACTGATGTGAAACCATCTTACCATCCTGCTGGCTGACAAAACCACGGRGTCACACTCTACAGCTGAACTGCTCCAGGGCAARAACAGAAGGAGCTGCTGGGAGCAAGGACTGGAGGCTGAGCCACCCCCAAACCCAGMCAAGGGTGCTCTGAAGACCAAGGTCCACCACTCTTCAGGTACTTTCTACCTTTAAATCAAAGCTTRTTTTYTTTCACTGAARTAATTAAAAAACGTTGAGCTTTTGYTATGTTTGTCTCCCAAATGCCCTCCTTTTCTCCCCATGTGCCCACTGCTTTGTCTCTAAATGCTTATGATTTGTAGCATCAACTTCAGCCTCAYAGAGCTCAAGAGCCCTCAGGTTCCAACCCAAGTAGGAAATGATCCAACCTTGTGCACCTGGTGGCTCATTCCTTCCCTTCAGCTTTCTGTGCTTTCTGTCATTGTGCCCATATAAATACAAAAAGCYACCAAGTCACTACATTGTTCTTTAAATCCCTTTTTAAACCCCAAGTCCTGTGCTCACTAATCCCATTCTAAGAGCCATGCATTTGGATGCTCTGGCTGCTGCTCATTCACAAGTGGCTGCTCTCTGTCTTGCTTCTCTGTTTGCTCTATTCATGCTGKTTTTTTTTACTGTTCTAAGTTTTAGAATTTTTCTGCAAGTATTTCTTTTTCAGTGCTTACACATACAGTGCCCTGTACAATGTCCTGGGCAGCTGGGACATGCCTGAAGAAATCCAGATGGAACAAGTGCATGTCCCAACCCCCAAATCTCCTGCCTCAGGACTGTACCTGCTCCCCACGATCTACAGATGAGAGAACCCTGGGACAGAAATTCCCAGTTTCCTCTGGAACCACCCTCAAACCTCTTTCCACCCAAGGCAGAGTTTTCCTCCAGGCTGTTCCCACAAWCCAGAGGATGAAGGGTTTCTCCCCAGTCCAGTGCTCACCACCACGAGGAGCACGGAGAGCCCATGGCCTCAGCCAGCACTGACCATGGACAGAGGGAGAGAGAGATTAGAACACCACACTGGGGATATTTCAGGGCTCACACATTTCATCCTCACCTGCTGCTACCTTCCTTCGAGGAATCAACTTTTCCTTCCAGGTTTTAGACACCAAGGTGACTGCACAGGACACCCTTTTCTCTACAGGCTACCGTGAAAAAGTGTCTTAAAATAACTCTGCCTCAATTCTCTGCCATATTTAACTGGTGGAATCTTTGTTATTGGGCAGAGGATTTGGATTTTCTTACTAATTCAAATAATCATTAATTATCACCCTTCGGCTAAAATGTCTCTGATCCATTTTTATGCTGATCTCAGTCCCTTAAGCTCTGCCTACAAATGATATTACMCAGTGAGGGGCACTCTGCAGAGCACCCTTCTGCTAACAGCCTGCAGGAACAAGAGATGTTGTGCTGTCCTGGGGAGGAGACTGCAGGAGCTGTAACCAGCTGAAGGGCAATTTGGAATCTGTAGGTGTCTATTAACATCAGAGAAGTGTCCAGTATCCCAGTCCTGTGCTCTGTACAGCTGACAGGTGTCCTGGAAAGGTGTTGCACAGGCTGCAGGTCAATTATGTGCTGTTAATAAATTCATGAGCTGACTTTGATTTAAGCCCCAAGAGCTGAGCTTTTCCCTGCCCCACACAAGGAGGCAGCAGTCCAGCACAGGTGGCTCAGCTCAGGAGCCATGGTCCAGCCCTGCCTATCAGCTGTAATGTGAGGTACACCACACAGCAGTCAAGGTGCCCTGGCATGGGCATAATGCCCAGGACAGCCCCCAGACAAGGGCATCCTTCTTGGGACAGGATGAATTTTTGAAGAGCCATCTAACACCAGACAAAGAGTAACTTTCCCAGAATGATTCTGTTCCCAATGTATGACTCTGGTTGTCAAGTATGACTCCAGCACAGAATCAATACAAGATACAAAAATTACCAAGCAATTYTGAACTGGTGCCAAAGATTTCTCTTTGAAGGAAAACTTACCAGAATCCCACCTGCAAACTCCTCCCTGCAATAAAATGCACACCTGATGGATACAGAGCACACCTGAATGAGAAATGTCAGACTTGCCAAGATACTTGTACTTGCTGCCACCTTTGATTTTGCTGTGCTTCCAACCCCAAAATGTTCACACTGAATGCCCAACTGGGACCTAACAAGCTAAGACAGAGCAGCTCTTACTGCCAGCATGAACTCACACAAGTGACCCAGCTGGCAGCAGATAAACATTTCTCACAAATCAATCCCTCCAGCTCTGATCTCTCAGCCTGGTTTTTCCAGGGAAAGCTAAAAAATCATCTTTGTAACATGAGCCTGGGAACAAAAATTCATAAATCTATGGGATAAAGAAAAACAAAGACTTAAGATTAGTTTTGTGACCTATTATAAATTCTCTTCTCTCCATTTTCATCTTTTATCTTCCTTCCTTTCCCACTAATCCTTCTCCTCTTACTACCTCTCCTTTCCCCGCTCTCACCCCTCTGTAGGCACCAACGATCCTTTCCTTCCCTGTCAGAGAATTTACCTGACTTGTATCTGAAACCAACCAATTGCTCTCAGCTTGTCTTTGGCTTTGTCATCTTCTGCTTTTATCTCAAACCTGAAAGGCTTGTGAGTCCAAAAGCCTCTCAGCTTTTTACAGCTATATTCACTGGTCTACTGAAGATGCCACTTCAGGCTACACCATCACCCCTCTGCCCTGAGATCATTAYAGACACAGCAAATCACCACCAGGAACCTGCATGGACCTCCAGATTAAACTACTGTGCCAGAAATGGTCCTGTCAAAGCTTGAACATTTCAAAAATACCTCTGAAATACACTGGTTTTCATTCTGAGATACTCATGTTAGTGCACTTGTCTGCCCACACCTTACAGGTGATGTCCTTTAATGCCCACCGATGTCCAAGCCTAAGCAATGACTTATAAACCAGCCACAGRCAAAATGATTTCTCAGAGGATGGAATGACAGCAACAGTACAGATCAGGGCTATTTTCACAACCACAGTGGAAAGCAAAATGCTCCAGCCACATCTATGTCCAGCCCTGCTGCTGCTCTGAAGGGCAGGGCACTAATGCAGGGCTTCCCTCGAACTGAGCATGCACAAAACTCATTATTTTGGAAGCCCAAACRATAAACTGGCAAGAGCTCTCCAGGTGACCTGAATTATGATTTTCATGGGGCAAAGCCAAACTGACTTGTACTTGGAATGGCCATTCTGGAGGAACCCTTCAGGGCTCTTTCCACTCCTGTGAACTACCTTATGTCTGACATGGGTCACAACAGGATTAGAAATACAGGAGAGAGCCRAGCTATTCTGCATTCACCTCATAGAACAACATCTCATCCCAATGCATCCTACTTTGAAAACCTCAGCAAAGCCATACAGTTGCACTAAATCTACAACAAAATCCCAGCCACTGACAAAAATAAAGTTTTTTTCCTCTTCCAGTGTGACTGGGCCATCATGGTCACATTGCAACAGCAGCCACATGAATGCCTGGGCACCAAAATGCAAAGTTTGAACCATGCTCYATGCAGAGAGGTTGTATGTTAATCCCCAGCTGGAGGTTACGGTAAGTACATTGTTTTTGCTGCAATTGAGACACAAGAGAAAAAAACATGGAAGTTTTATCCAGTAATGCTGACAGCTATCCCTGCATCACCTGTGCTACACTGCAGCAATTTACTGTATTTTGTTCCAAAAAATGGAGAGGTGCAGTGAAGGGTGATGAGAATCTTCCTTAATGCTCCTCTATGTCCGGGTATCTGCCCCCAGGGGCTGCTGGAGCCCTGGGGAGTGGGGGAGAAGCCCAGCAGCACCCAGGCAGCAGGGGAAGGCTGAACACAGGAGCTGCAGGAGCACCAGGATGCTCAGAGCACTCGGTTCCCTCCACAGGGAGGGCTGGGCTGGGCTGGGCTGGCAGCGGGGTCCCTGGGTATTGGTGTTGTGGCTGCAGCTCCTGCAGCTCCTCTCAGCCCCTCTGCCTGGGGACATCGTTCCCTGAGGGGACAGCACTGCCAGCACAGCACTGGGGATGCTTTCCTGGGATGGGGGTCTGAGTTTAGTTAAAACAAACGGGATGGATTCCTTTTCTGAGCTCCAAGATGCAGTGTTGCACGCTACCAGCATGCTAATGAGAAAGAGCCTGAGAGGGGGACATAGCAACAAAAGCCAGAATACAGAATAACAATTACTCCTCTTTTTCTAGTAGCTATTTTTAAACGTCAATTCAAAACAACTCAGAGAATTTACAAYGTATTTTAATCACTTTTCTATGCATAAAATGCTTATTTGAGTAGCACTTCAGTACACCACCTTTTCCTTTTGGATGCTGATGGGGAAGTACAATTATTACTTCCGTTTTCATGCCACTTTAATTGGATGTATTACTTCTGAGAAAGCTCTGAGAACACAGGATATTGGCCTCTGACTGAGAAAGGAGCTTAGGAAAAGTCCTGGAGAAGTGACATGTCACCTTGTCTCGACTGCATCACAGYTGTGTGCACTCACTTTGTACCAGCAACGCTTCCTGCCAGTGCCCTCCCAATTCTACTGCAACATAAAAAGTTGTCATTAAAGGATAAGCAAGGTAAACACACACAAAGATTAAACTGTGTGGGGTCTACAGATCAACAGCATTCTCACAACGGTTCAGGGAGCATTGTCAAAATTCCTTATCAGCCATGTAACCTGCAGTACTCTCAATAAAGGGCATTAATGATCCTCAGCAATAACAATATAATAATCAGCTGCTATAAAAGCCTGATMAGCTTACTTGCATTGCTTAGACATATGCATGATGTTAAATAGATCCTGAAATATGGAACAAATCAGAAGATTGAGATTTTGTATGTTATAAATAACAACAAATGACGGCAAGAATGGGAGTTACAAAGAAATCAGGTGTAACACATTTTTAGGTAAGTTGTATCCCATCAATACAATCTGTCTGATCAGATGGCCACTTACTTTGGAAGGGGAGCCCTCAGTGATTTTCACCAGCTGCCAGAGGATAGAGTAGTGGGAGCACTGCAGAGCCTGRACAACGATCTGTAACACAAGAACACACAGAGTCAATCCCAGCTTGCTGCAAGCAGCAGGCACAGCAGGCAGCGCGTGGGAAATCCATCGTGCACTTTGTAGTGAAGGGACAGGAGAAGCTTTGAGGCAGCACTTTCTGTTTTCAAGGGTATCATGTTTCTCCTTAGCTGGTTTGGTGCRGCAAGAACCCTACTGGAGGTGAAAAATTACTGTGTAAGTGCTGGAAAACACCAGGAAACTGCACAGCAGGGCAAAAGGGGATGTCAGCATGACAGCAGTACTGCCCAACATCTCCATCTCTCATACCAAAAGCTCCTGTTTAAATACCTCTAAACCTGGCTTCACTTTAAACTGCCTGGAAATCTGCTCCACTGTCAAATGTACATACAGCCCAACTGCTGACAAAAGGGAGAAAATACAACTGGTCCCATGGAGAAGACCATGGTGCCCAGAAAAGCACCCAAAGTGTCTCTTGTACTGTTCAGATCCAGATCACGGGCTACAAATGCCAAACTCGTCAGAGTGGCCTGCGGGAGGAAATCCTGATGAGAGCTCCAATTCAGGAACTTCCCCCTGAGATCTTGCAGAGACTTTTGGGGAGCCACAGAGTGTCAGACCCAGACACTGAGGATGGCTGGCATTTGCAAGGACAGGTTTTATCTGCCAGCCCTGTCCCTCCAGGCAGCACAAGTCCAGATGAAGCAGCAACTGCAGAGAGAGCAGAAGGTCCCAGAGGACAGGGAAAGCCAGGATTTTCACACACTGGGTGGCAATGCCTCCTTTTAGGGTCCTCTCTAGAAAATACTTATTCAGAATTTCATGAGGATTTATTTTTGCTAAACGAAGCTGAGTTAGAATTAACAACTGGCTTCAAACTGAAATAAAATCATAACTTAAAAGCTTAAGTAGGAATTCCRCAGTTTAAACAGGGATCCTGGCAGAACATAAGCTGGTTCCTGTGCTTATCCATGAGAAACAAAAACTGAACARAGTCCAAGACGTGTTCACTACAAGAACTCCACTAGGATGTTCTAGTTTCCTGGTTTTCAAAAGCTTCCCTCTTACCTTCAATGCACAATAATCACTTGTGATAATTCTAATTGCAGTCAAGGCTTCAGTGTAAACACCAGGACACATGCACTGCTTTTCAGWGCCAGGAACATTAGCTGCTCCCAGCTTTACAGATGAGAAGGGCAAGGGAAGAAGTTTAASAGAATCCAAGGTTTCACCTCCCAGATGCCCCCTGACTCCACTGTAAATTTTATTCCAAACTCAGAGTTTTTCTGAAATCACTGAAGTGCACTGAACTTTGAATTTCTGCACACCCAGACTCCGTAAAGCCTTGGAGAGCACAGTGGTGCAATGTAGGTGTTGTTAAGGGTACCTGTTCGGGCATGGCTCCGTGTTCAATTCCAGTTCTCAGCAATCTGTAGCAGTTACTGAACAGATCCCATTTGGTGAGATCGTGGGCGCTGCAATGAGAGGAAATARCGAGGGATGAGTTGTGTTCCTCAGAACCCCCACCCACAGAGCTCTGCTGGTTTGCACAGCAGCTCRAAGCACAAGTCAGGCTATCTGATAATGCAGGAAAATGTTTTAGTGTGTGGGATTTTTGTAGGGAGGAGAGCAACTCTCTCCAGCCACACACCTCCAAAGGTCACTCAAGTGTACCTGTTCCTTCTCTCTCTAATTCATTTTTCCTCTTCTGGAAACACTGACAGAACTCCAGAAAATCCTCCCCTGGCATTGCAGAAGAAACTACAGCCAAATTCTTTCAATGTCTAATGAATAAAAATGGCTTTAAGCAAAATAAAGTTGTATATTTTTCTACTCTCTCATTTGGAAGAAAATAATAAACATTCTCACTAGATATGAAACATCCCAAATATCTGAAGTGAGACAACACGATAACACATGGACATGAGATAGAGGTGGGGGCTGTCCCTCCAATTTTTGTTCCACATTTCAGTTGCACCAACCTGATTTCACCAGTGAGAGGAACAAAAATGACATTAGGAACAAATACTCTACAGCCTCACTGACCTCAGCAGCTCATGAAACAGCTTTTTAATAAAGAAATGAGAAATACAGAAGAAACTAAAAAACATCAGATTGTCTGAAAGACAAAAATACTCTCTCTCACAAGCAAATTTAAGTTTCAAACATTTTTCTGCAGTGGAAATAAACTGAGATAATTTGAAACAGTCTATAATACATCTATAAAAGAGCAAGTCAGCTCAGAATAATTAGAAAGTTGCTGATTAAAATACTCCCCTGGAAGAAGGGACACTGAGACTGAACTGGAAGTCTCAGTTGGATGCAGCAGCCTCTTGCACCTGGAACATCCCAGCACTTGGGATCACCCAGCACCTGGGATCAACCAGCACCTGGAACATCCCAGCACCTGGAACATCCCAGCACGTGGGAACACCCAGCACCTGGAACATCCCAGCACCTGGGAACACCCAGCATCTGGAACATCCCAGCACCTGGAACATCCCAGCAACCTGGGAACACCCAGCATCTGGAACATCCCAGCATCTGGAACATCCCAGCACCTGGAACATCCCAGCACCTGGAACATCCCAGCACCTGGGAACACCCAGCACCTGGAACATCCCAGCACCTGG